GCTCGAGGGGCGAGATGGGGTACACCTTGCAGTTGGTGGGCTTAGCGTCGGGGACAAGCTCAATGGCGTGGTCCCAGGCTCTCCGCTCCGGTAGCGTGTCAAAGGACTCCTTGTTGAAGACGTCCTGGAACTCCTTAGCCCAGTCCGGGATCTCGGAGGGCGGTGGGGCGGAGTTCTTGGCGAAGGCTTCGGCCAGACGCTGTGAGACGGTGCTACCTGCGCGCTATCTCCTCTGAGGGACGGAACGAGGTGTAGAAGATGCGGTCACCATCTTCGAGCTGGTCATCTTCGTCATCCGAGTCCGAGTCCGGCGTCAGATCAGGCCGGTCGGAATCGAGACCGGAATCGGAATCGTCTCCGTCCTCCGGGCCAGAGAGGTCCATAGTGCAAACCGAGGGGAACGGGCCGGAGCGGAGACGCTTCTGAAGCGACCGGAGTCGCCGCAGCTCGGTCCGTTCGACGCGCTCTTCCTCACGGCAGGTCGAGCAATTGCGGGGGCACCTTGTCATCTTGACCTCCTTGGTTTCCCAATTGATCTCTGGGTTATGCTTCCGCAACCAGGAATACCCCACGATGAGGTCTTGCTTGCCAAGATGGGTGACGGCCAGTTGAACTTGTTTGGCATGGCCCTTGTAGCGCAGGACCAAGTCCGCGATCTGTTTGATGGAGCCAGCGTTATTGGGGGTGCCATCGACATTGAAAACCGGAATCGGCTGATCAAGGGTGCGGACCGGAATGCCATTCCGAGCGACATAGTTCATGTCAATGAAGTCGGAGGTGGCACCACAGTCTACAAGCCCAGAGAGTGAGAGCTTCAGCGCGCTGGTGGTGGACTCAAGCTCCAACGGGAGGTGGAGGGAGTTCGCCCCGGGGGCAGCGGCAACGGTGTACTGCTTGGGCAGTTTCTTTTCCCAGGCAGTGAGGCGGCGAAGGACGATGACCGGAGTCGCGGGCGGAGTCGGAGACGGAGTCGAGGCGGGGGCAGGAGAGGGTGTGTCTTTCGTTTCGGGCTCATTGTAGGGCAAGGAACTGCATTCATCATACAAAGAGGCAAAACGATTTATAGACGCGAACGAGGGCACACCAGTCACTCGTCGCGGGGGACAAAATCCTCTCCGGCCATCGACTCCGCTGCCGTCTCCGGCAGGGCAGCTGTGTCCGTGTAGCGGGCGATCAACTCCGCTAACATCTCGTCACCGAGTTGTTGGATCACCTCGTCGAGGATGTCCATCGAGCGGACATCGGCGGGGAGGGGGCAATCCCGGGCGAGATGGTTTGGGTCGCCGCACCTGAAGCAGGCGCGGCGAGGGGCACCCCGAGCCCTGGTGCGATCCAACTCCATAGGGACGGGTTTGAACCCAGGGTTTGACATCATCACTACCAAAGACACAAGAAGAAATTATATATTAAAAAAATAAAGGCTGGCTGGAGGGAACAACAGCAGTAACAAAAAGGTTAAGGTGCGTTGCAAATCACCCGCAGCCAGGGTCGAACCGGCGGAATCGTCAAAACACAGCATAGCATCTGGGCATCACCGTGACCGTCGTGACCTCTCGTGACCTCTTTTTTTTTTGCGCTGACGTCGATCGTCGTAAGCTGAATATTTTCCGCGCCGGCAAGAGGGAACGCGCGGCGTGCAGCTTCATGACTCTCTACACGCACACATGGTATACGACGTGGCCCAAGCGGTCAGTTGACGGCCATGGCTCACTCTGAGGACGAGAGGCATAGGACAGGACATCCGTAGATGTGGGGGTGCTTGGTGCGTGGGTATTCAAAGGAATCGAACTGCTCTGCCCTGACCTCAGGCTGCCGGGGGGAAATCAGAGAAAAAGTGACGATGATTGTGAAGACATGTACAGCGGATGATGGGAGTAAACTGTCCCATTACTACTTATGTGCTACACAAATGTCTTGCAGAGGAACTTCGCTTTGGTGACCGGTATGCGCACGAACCAGCGCGCGTTGAACAGCCTGTCTGCAACACATCAATTAAGATGAACTATGCAACGACAGAACTCACTTGTTGTGCTCTTCATGCCTTGCGGCCTCCGGGGCCCTGCTCGCCGCCGCCGCCGTTTCCGGGGTCCGGGTCTTGCTCACCACCCCCGCCGCCGGGCTGGGGGTCCTCTTCGCCGCCGCCACCGCCGGGCTGTGGGTCTTCTTCCTGGCGCGGCTCGGGGCCCTGTTCGCCGCCGCCGCCGTTCCCGGGGTCCGGGTCCTGTTCGCCGCCGCCGTTCCCGGGGTCGGGATCCTGTTCACCGCCCCCGCCGCCGGGCTGCGGGTCGTCCTCCTGGCGGGCAATCAAGGGGACGGAATAAGCGCTGTCGGGTGCCCGGCGCGCAATGCTGGTCTCGGCGTCGCGGACTGCACCGGAAATTGGACCGGCGATGACCGCAGGGAGGAGAAGCGCGGAGAGGAGGAGTTTGGGGAGCATGGTTCGTTGCTGTTGTTGTTGTAGGTGGGATGCGATGTGGGTTAAACGATGGAATGAGGAGAGACGCCAATTCGCCGGCATTTATATACGCCCCCAGGAACGCAGACGAATGGCCGCCAAGTCGTCTTTCTCTCTTCGACGCACGTAAACACGGTGTTGTCGACATGGTCGGGTATGTCCATGCTTTCCACTGGCAACGCACTCCAGACTCAACAACGTCACGGTTGAGGTTGCAATCAACCACATAATCGGATCAACTTTGTGGAGTATCGAGGCTGGCACGCCATGGAGACTCATCCTGGAGGGCAACCGGGACGCTGACGCACGTCACGCAATCCAGCAATTAATCACAGCCAGATTGAGACTGTAGCTTGACGATGCGTCATCTTGCGCACACGGTCTCCACCGATACTCGGAGCCGCGAAACACCAGACACTCCGAGTTCCCCGTCCGCGTGCCGGAGCTCGGTCGCTGCGGCCCGCGCGGCGCAACCGCCATCAGTGGGGGTTGTGAGGTATTAACATTTCAGCAACGTCACATGCCTTCCCAAACGGGTAATGGCATCACATGGTCCCGCCGCCCGCCCATCACGCAATGAGTGACTGCTGAGTCACACTTGACGTTCTTCCTTTTACCCTCATCCACACCGCCAATTGCCACCCTTCCGCATCACTAGGCCCATCCAACCGGCTTCTCCCCCAAATCCCCCGTGGCATCGCGCCGCCACCCAACCTCTCCAACACGCGGCGGCGGAGTCGGCGCTTGATCTCCAGACCGCCAGTGACTCCTCAGGCTGGGGTGGGGTGGCATGGCCCATCGCGCTCCGTATGCAAAGCACCCTCGGACACCGCGCGGGCCTGGTGGCATCGCTGGCAGGGATGCAGCGCGCGGTTGTGATCTTCAAGTTGAAGAAGCGTGACTTCCACGTTCGACCCACGCGTTTGTCCTCGTCCGGCTGCAATTCGGGTGTTTGAGCGGGACTACGAACGCGCTCCACCGCGAGTCATCGGCCTTGACCCAACGCGCTCCACCGCGAGTCATCGGCCTTGACCCCACTGGCACCGTTGCCCATCAGCGACTCCGAGTTACCTATGGGCAGTGAGCATGCCGCGCACGATTACTTGTACAACTGCACGTGGGATGCGTCGGGATACACATCGTTCTGTGGTTTCGATACAGTATTCTCAGCAACTTGAATATTCGTCCCACCGGCAACTTGAGATCAAAGGTCTTGAGTTGTGAAGGCCAAGCATTCAAAACTTTGGTGCCAACTGTGGTCTGCGCTGGGTTGGTGACGACGCCTGCCCATGACGGAAGGATCTGCACACCTGTCGAGAGGAACCACATAATGCCGGCAGACGGCGGACTCGGAGCGCGGCGTTTCGCCATAGTCTAGGCGTTTGTGGAGCGCTGTCAGCGCCAGTGGCGGCCGAGTCGGTGGCTAAATCGACGCATCTTCCGGGAACGCGAGTTCAACGGACTGTGGAAGTCAGGAAGGAACTAAAAGGCTCCAGCTAATTACGAGCGGATGCGGGCCTGAACAATAATGCGCACAACGCTTCGCGAATTCGTGCCGAATCGTGCGAAAGGATGCCAAGAACCAAAGCGATAGGTTAAAACCGTGAAAGGTAAACGGACGCCTACGGACGCGCGGTCGTTGATCCGGAGGATGGCGGACGCTCCGCATACCGCGGGTGCTTTTTTTGCCAGTGGTACGCGCATGTGGCATGTGGTGCGCTCCATGATCTGCTTACGCAATGAGGTTGTGGTGTGTCCAATTCTGGATCCGGTGGAGCAGTAGAGCGGCGAAAAGGTATTGATTCTGGGGTCGTGAGAGGCTTGGATTATGGGGTAGCGGGTAGCGGGTAGCGGGTAGCGGGTAGCGGGTAGCGCTAGCGCAGGGTCTTGCACGCGTAAAGTTGAACTCGGGAACGACCGTGACAAGTTGCGAAAACAGACGACGAGAAAAAAAACTTTTTTGAATGGCCCCATGGCCCAACGAGGGTTCCCGGGGCGTATATAAACGCTGGCGACATCGCCTCTATCCTCATCCCACCGCCCACTGTCGTACCCGCACCCGCATTGGCACTACCATGTTCCCCAAACTCCTCCTCTCCGCGCTTCTCCTCCCCGTCGTCATTGCCGGGGCAGTCCCGGGGGCAGCCCGCATGCGGCGCCAGGACGGAACCGACATCGGGCATCCGCCTGAGCCGACCGGCTTCAGGCGCCGACAGGAGGACACCGACATCCCCCGTCCTCCCGAACCCACTGACTTCAGGCGCCGGCAGGAGGACACCGACATCGGGCAGCCGCCAGAGCCAACGGACTTTAGACGCCGACAGGAGGACACCGACATCGGCCAACCCCCGGAGCCTACCGAATTCAAGCGCCGACAGGAGGACACAGACATCCCCTCGCCTCCTGAGCCAACCGACTTGAAGCGCCGCCAGGATGAAACGGACATCCCCCGGCCTCCGGAGCCGACCGATATCGGCCGTCGCGCGCCGGCGGTTCGCGCCGACGACTAGACTGGCACCGTCGACCCCAAGTATGTCCGTCGCCTTCAGAATCCTGAGAGCGCTGAAGTATTCCGCAAGGAACTTGAAGGCACGCCCAATTTGCCTATAATTCTATTTTTCTTGGCTGTTTCTTTCGATAAATATTAATAGCGACTGGCACAAGTGTAGTACTCACATTGTCGTGAATTATCATTGCCTATCTTCACCACCTTTTTGACCACTGTGCCTCTTGCAGCACAACCTGTTCCTCCCTTCTCATGTCCGCCGTCCCCTCCGCGAGCGTCCCATTCTGAGTCTGTGCCGGATTGGGCACAAACCGCGTCGCAAACGGACTGTGGTACCACAGCCGGTCCTACGGGAACTGCATCAGGTGCGGGACGTTCAGCAGCGCGTCCACCCGCCGTAGCACGCCGACAAATGCGGCTACCCAGTCGCGGGGCAGCGAGCGGGGTGGGAAGATTCGTGTTTTTTGCTGGATAGGCGACGACGCCGATGAACGCAGTGACAGAGGAACTGAGGAAGATGAACCGGTTGAGACGGTGGAAGTCGGCATTAAGGGTGTATAGCTGTTGATGTCAGCCACAGTCAGCGTCAGCGACTGTCCAGCACAACAGGAGGGGTCGCATACCACAAACGGCGCGAGGGAGAAGAGCGAGGAGACGGCTGCACTAGTGAGGAGCAGTGAGTATGTAGCGTGTGGGTATTGCAGCACTTTTGTGATACAGCAGGCAAAGCGCGACAATCTCGGAGAAATGAGCAAAATTGTATCGGCGGAAGAGCCGCTGCGCACCTGCAAGAGCGCGCTCGTTATGTGTGTCAGCGGCGTTCCCTTCCGCAAAGGCACGAATTGGTGGAGGATGATGAACAGAATCGGCAGCGCGTCGACGATGTTCAGCGTGACTTGATTCGAGTATGCCGTGCGCGCTTGCAGCTGGTCTGGTCAGCAAGGCCATCAAAGCGAAAGCAGAAAACGCACCAAAAGGTGGTGGACGAAGAACAACCCGCCGACCAGAGCCCCCACGACCCACTTCTGCCTCCTCCCCCACACACTTTCCACGGCTGTCGTCTCTTCTTCGCCGCGCGCCTGCAGCACCAGGGGCTCCTCGTTCTTTGCCTTGCTCTTGGCCACCCACTTCTCCTGCACATACAACCACCCGGCAGTCGCCGCAAGCTTGACGAGCTCGAGCACAAGATGCACCGCGAACGGCGGATCGTGCCTGCTCGGGTGTGAGGGTCCTTCCAGCCCGCCTTGAAGCACGAACGCGGTCTGCGGCGGTGTCAGCTCCCAGAAGAAAGAGGCCTTGCAACTTACTAGCAGCGCGGGGAGGTGCCGTGCAGCGTGCGCGACGTGAAGAAGGCCCAGAGACGGGCTGCGGACAAGTGATAGAGAATTGAATCGGCTGGGAAGTTTCGTCATAGGCGCGCATTACCCTTCTCCCGGATATGCTCCTCGAAGGACATATCCAAGTTACAATTTTCGGATCAATGATTTGAGCCAATGGCAGAAGACCCGATTTGTTACGATTGTCTTCCGCGTTCTCCCACTCCACACCATGCGGCAGCTGTGCACAGGTGGCAGTACCAGGAGCCTTTCCTTTGTCCTCCCCATTGCTCTGAATCATGGCTCCACATCCCCTTCTTCCATGCAAGAAACTGCAACTAGAGGCTACAGCACAACTGGCAGAGAGGGAGAAGCAGCAGAGGAAAGACTTTGAACTCTGGGGAAACTACAGTTGCAGACAATCAAAGTTGACAAGTGAATAAAATAAACATTTAATTATGAGCCAACCATTATTGTTATGCGAATTCTGAGCTCAGATTCAGAGGGTCTGAAAACCCCTATAAAGTATTTGTGTAATTTTCCACATCATATCAGGGTTGCGAAATTTTTTTTTAAAAAAAAGTTTTTCATTTATTTGATCATAAGAGTATTTTTTTTTAAAAAAAGCTATGCTTGCCTTCTCTAGTTCTGCTAGAATAGTACTATTACATAACCTATAAGACCTCTGCTTTTTTTACTGCCCATGCTGCTGCTTTGCCTGTTGAGCCTAATCGATATGCACTAGCATCAGTTTCAAGTTCGGGTCCAGATTCGGATTCAGAAGTAGAGCTTGCTAAATCAACCATATTAAGATCAGTCAGTTGCCAAGACACTTGCTTGATATCTATCTGTTGCTGGCTTTTTGGCCTAGGGCCTTTCAGTCTAGAGCTTGGTTTATATAGGAGTGTTTGTAAACCGGTTTATAAACACCCCTGTTTTATATGTTTATAAACAGCCTGGCTGGAAACCCCCCTGTTTCATAGTTTTATATTAATAAGCACCCAAAAAGGAAAGAGACTGGTAAAATAGACTTACTTCACACTAATATTGCTTTTATATACTACTACTAGTAGGCTTGACCATATCTTATAGGTCTATTATAACATCTAGTCTCTTATCAAGTAGAACCTTTACCTACTTTTGGGTGACATTAGTTATGATCAGCACTGGTACTGAGGGCTCGGTCGTCACTATGCTAACTATGCAGATTACTTATTATTGCTGTCATTATGATTTTTAAGTACTGACAGGGGGGGTTTATCTTAAATGTTCTGATAACTTGCCAACTAGCATTCTCTGATTTAGTGTTGTTTGTGACACAAAGCCCTAATTTCCGCCTGCTCTTCCACTTTGGAGTTTGAAGTGTTCTCTCTGATCTATTAGCATGTCCTGGGCCCTTTCCATATGCAGTGCCACAGATTACATAATGAGCTCTTGTATATATGGCCCTAGTCTATAGGTAACAACTGCAGAAGAAGCTCTAGGCTGGATGTTCTCATGTCAAGTGTCTACCATCAAAGCTATGATATCTTGCAAACTCAATATGGGAATGTCTCCAAACCAGGCTCATTCGATAGGACTTGTCGACACCTTTCTTTTGATACCCCATACATGGTGACAGCGTGAGAAATAGGGTGTTCCAAAAATTTTAGCATATGTGACACAAAAAGTATATAGTTTTAGACAGTTTCTGGAAGGAAAAAAAATCCCTCTCTTCAGCTGTACAATTGGTTTTTCATTCCTACGTACCAATATTGACTTATTAAACTTGTTAACTTTAATTGTCCGCAACTGTATATCATATGATACTGTAGTATTTGGATCATGTGTTCGTGTTACACGTTACACGTGGGTGTGGCGCAGACACCTGCGGCCTCCGTTACACGTTCAGGCCCAGACTCCCATCAAAATCGCCTTAAAAAGGCAATTTTTCGTTCCGGCTGATGCCGGACTTGCCTTTTATAGTAGTCCGGACACCTTGTCCGGCGGACAGTGTGCGTTACATGTTACATGCCGCGGACAGTTGATCTAAATAGTATATTAACTAAATTAGAGACTGGCTTATATAATGTACTATTTTAATCATTTTGTCACCCACTGGAGTGTGTGACTTGTGTGACAAACCTAAATATTCGTCACACCTTCCCCATTAGCTCTGGCACCAAATTAGGCAAAATTGCCTATTATGGACAAATTTAGGGCTAAATATTGCCAGACTTGTGTAAACTGCATTTTGGAGCATACAGAGAAACCACTATTTTTGTTTTTTTCCATAAGTATAGTGCATATCTGAGAACTGGTATGAGTGAGATATCTGCAAAAAGGTGTTTTAACTTGACTGTCATTGACAGCAAATAACTGTTTTGGAACAACTCTTAGAACAATCAAATAACAGCAGAGCCCAAATCAACATAAAGGGTCCATCCAATCCTTTATATATACCAACAGGGAGTGTAAACTAAAAGGTATGTTCGGTTTGGTGCATATTTGGGACTTGAACTCCAGATGCTCCAACAATGGTTCAACCAAGCTTTGAACAGATCAGTCACTGATAGCATTGGAGCATAGTTTCAGATCTTGTGCAGGGATGAGGCCATGTGAAAGTGCAGTTATATGAGAGACATGACTTAGTAGAAATAAGGGCTTGCTTGCAGATCACAGCAAACTTAAACTGCAGCCATCCGACTGAACAACTTAACAATTAATTGTGATTGTAAGGGCAACCCTGGAGACTCCGACGAAAGCCTAGCAGGGGAGGATCCAAAGCGTGAATAAGACTACAGGAAATACACGGAGGGACCGACCTAGCAGGGGAGGATCCAAAGAGAAGAAACTCTAAGGGTCCGCCTGCTAGGGCGCCAACTATATACTGGTCGTCCGTAACTGCCGACGTAGAGCGCAGAAGGCCTGAGCGGCATCGCAGGCTCTGTCCCAAGGTGATCGTTGGGAGGGTCTTGACGGATCGGTGATTGTGCGGGCGAAGGAGGCCGTGGACGATGGTCGGGGTGGGTCGGAGCGTCCGAGGGGGCGCCGGTCGGATGCGCCTCGGATGCGTTCGGAGGGTCCGAAGGAGGCCGAAGCGGGGGTTCCCCTGACATCACCCCCCCCTTGGAATGCGGCGTCCCAACGCATAGTTCGAAAGGGCAAGGAGTCGAAAGTCGCTGAGGCGATGTGCCGTGGTTTACCCGGGTACCTCTGATAGAAGTCCGCAATCTTGTCTGGCGCAAAGACACGGTCGAACCGAACCCACGAGTCGTGTGAAGCGTCGTAGCCTTTCCACCTGACGAAATAGTTAAGACGCTTATACCTTATCCTGGCATCCAAGATTTCCTCGACTTCCCATTCGGGAACTCCATCCTCTAGTTCGGGGGGCGGTTCGTCGTAGCCGGGTCGTCCATTGAAGGGGTCGTCCTGAGCGAGCTCGAGTTTAACAACGGGGAAGACGGGGTGGAGCTTGGAGTAACGCGGGGGGAGGTCGAGCTTGTAGGCACCTTTGCTAACCTCTGCGAGCACCTTGAACGGTCCGAGGCGCTTGTGGGAGAACTTCTCGGAGGGCCGAGTTGTTCTGATGTCAGAGGCATCTAACAAAACCTTATCACCAACTTGAATATTCGGAGCGTCCGATCGTCTCCGATCGTAGTACCGTTTATACTCGTCTTTGGCTTTGACGAGCGCGGCCTTCGCCTTGGAGACGCCGTTCGCTATCCGATCGCGAAACTCGTTCACTGACTCCAACTCTGAGCGGGTGCCCGGCTCGAAACCCATTTGGGGGAGCCGGCCAGTGTCCGTCATAAAGGGTACCTGTTGAGTGGAGGAGTGAACGTGGTTGTTATAGGCGAACTCAGCGGCAGGGATAAGCTCATCCCAGTCGTCTTGTTGGTAGTTGGTGAAGATTCGGATGTACTGCTCGAGCTCCTGGTTAACGCGTTCGGTTTGTCCGTCGGTCTGCGGGTGGTAAGCCGTAGAGGTAGCCGGCTTGACGCCAATTAAGCGCCAGAGTTCGCGCGTAAAGTCAGCGATGAACTGCGAACCGCGGTCCGAAATGTGCTTCTCGGGGGTTCCGTGGTGTCTCCAGACGTTCCGATAGTACAAGCGGGCAGCTCCGACCGCGTCTATTGTCGTATGGCACTCAGTGAAGTGGGCACGCTTCCCGAGGGCGTCAACCACTACCATAACCGCGTCATACCCATGGGCCTCGGGCAGCTCGACAATGAAGTCCACAGTGACAGTGTGCCAACGTTCGGGCGGGACTTTGGTCGGATGCAGCTCTCCATGCGGAAGCCTTCGGAGGGCCTTCGTGCGGCAGCATAAGTCCCAGGTCGCGACGTAGCGTCCGATATGGCGAGACATCTGCGGCCACCAGTAGTTGCGCGAAACCAACTCTAAGGTCTTGAACCGCCCGGCGTGTCCGGCGACTCGCGTATCGTGGCAGAGCTCGATGATGCGCCTCCTTAGGTCCTTGTCTTTGGGGACTACAACCTTGCCGCGGAAGTACAGGAGGTCGCCGGAGACGGCCCACTTGTCCGAACGTGATGAGCGGGGGCCCCGAACTTGACCTCGGACCTTCAAGAGTTGCCGGGCTGCAAGCGCGACGGGTTCCTCTAGGTCAGGCTCACCGGATAGTGCTTCCTTGATGTCGCGGACAAGTTCGGAGCCAGGCCCAGAGACGGTGACGGCCTCAAGCGCGCGAATATGGAACAGTTCGGGGCGTAAGAGGGTAACATCCGAGTTGTCCTCGGAAATGCCGTGGTCAGGCCGACGAGAGAGAGCGTCGGGGCGGCCCATCTGGCGACCTGGGACGTGGTGCAGCGTGAAGTCAAACCTAGAAAGGTACAACGACCATCGGGCTTGCCGACGGTTAAGGTGCTGCGCCTTTCGGAAGTACTCCAAATTCTTATGGTCAGTCCAAATCTCGACCGGATGCGCGGCGCCCTCGAGGAAATGCCGATACTCCTCGAGTGCGCGGATGATCACGAGCATCTCCTTGTCGTGAATCTCGTAGTTGCGCTGGACATCATTTAAGCTTTTGGAATAGAACGCTACAGGGTGCCACTTCCCGTCCGGGGCGGATTGTTGTGAAAGAACCGCCCCCCGTCGCATAATCTGAGCTGTCTGCTTCAAGTCGGAAAGGCCGAG